TTCCTCCAATCCTCATGGCACATTCTTATCGTTCAGTTTCTCAAAATATTTGTTCAGCATACAGAGTGAATAGATTTGGATAAATGACGTGAACCTGATGCATACCTTTCTTGAATCTAAACTATGCAGTATTCCCTTGTTCTGTTTGGACAACTGCTTCTAGGTCTAGGTAGGTTTTTAAAAATTATTATTTATGTGTGTACCATCAAATCAGATCTGACTGGTACAGGATGAGATTGTCCCTCCTTCTTCAGCAGAGCATTTGGTGGATTTGAACTGCACACCTCTTGGATTGCAGTGCAGCTTCTTGCCACTAGGCCACCAGAGCTCACCAGAAGGGTTTTTTAAAGGTAAATGTTTTGCATGAGCACAATCAAGAGTTCTGGGATTCTTATTCTTCTCAATGTTAATTCTAATTTGTTATGATCTAAATAGTCTAATGGCTTTGCATAGTCAATTAAACAGAAGTAAACATGGTTTGTTTGTTTTTTGGTTTTTTTTGTATTCTCTGCTTTCCTCCAAGATCCATCTGGCATCAGCAGTGATATCTCCTATTCCAGCTTGAATTTCTGGTAGTTCTCTGTCAATGTACTGTTACAGCCGTTTTTTCCTAACCTTCAGCAAGATTTTACTATGTGATATCAATGATATTATTTGATAATTCCCAAATTCTATTGGATCACCTTTTTTGGAATGAGAAGAAATATGGACCTTGTCTAGTCTGTTGGCAAAGGAGCTATCACCCAGATTTCTGGGGATAGGATAGTGAACATGCCCAGGGCTGCATCTGTTTGTTAAAACACCTCACTTGGAATTCCATCAGTTTTGGAGGCCTTGTTTTCTGCCTTCAGTGTAGCTTGAGCTTCCTTATCATTGGTTCTTGATCAATCGTATTCTACTTCCTGTAATGGTTCAGTGTCAAGCAATTCTTTTTGATACAATGACTCGTGTTCTTTACATCTTCTTTTGATACTTCTGTATCATTCAAGATTTTTCTAAATTACAAATGTCCTGGGGGGTGGGCAGGGAGAAAAGTGCAACAATGAATGAATGGAAATCCAAAATCTCTGTAAATGTTCATTAAAATTAATAATAAAAAATGTCAATTTAAATTAGGAAAGTCCTTTGCCTTCACTCATTCAACAAATGACAAATATTACACAAATCTACATATATGTACATATATCTACCTTTATGAAATGTTATGTGTTTCGAGTCTGACTCAGTGATCCTATGAATAAGAGATCTAAACCCTGTCCTATCCAATGTCGCCCTCATTGCCTCTGACACACTGCCGCAGGCACTGTCAATATAAGTGGTGAGAAATGTTAGGAATGAAAATGACACATGGCAATGTTAAGGCCTCTGATGTGGTGGCATTTAACTTGCACGAGGGAGCTAGTCTTCTATGCACTTACTTCTTTTTCTATTTTAAGCATACAACATTTGGAGTAGTTTATTTTTTAAAGCACTTTCTATTCAGATAAAGAAAGGAAACTTCAGCTCTTTAGGCCAAGGCTTGAGAGAATGAATAGAAACAAAGGAAAAGACATCGTTTCAATGTCTCAGCTATGTATGGCTCACATTGTAAATATCCCTCCAGCATCGGGTAGGAGACAATGCTGATGGGGGAGTGCAGGGAGCCTCAGGACTCAGCCTTCCTGCCTACAAGAGGCTTAGCATCGTAGTAGGAGGCTCTGTGCTCCCTAGCAGGTGGCACTTCTAGAACTGTCTGCGTTCCTGTTGTCAACTTTAGATAGAACTGCCTGCCCCAAAGAGTTTCCCAGGCTGTAATCCTTACGGGATAGAGGCCCAGGTCTTTCCTCCCATCGTGCCTCTAGGTGGATTCCAATTGCCCACCTGCCATTAGAAACTTGGACGTAGGCAGGACCCAAGAGGATGGATACGAGTATTTCTATACTAAGCGTCACGGTTCGACACTTCTTGGAGCGGAAGGAACAAGGCAGAACAGAGTCATCCCAAAGAATTCGTTCCGGCAGAACGTGCGCTCCGTGCGCACAACAGGCCAGGTCCTGACTTCTCACTTCTTTCCCTCCGCGGGCAGACGGTCAGAGAAAAGAGAAAA